CTCTTTATCATTATGTAATGCCCTTTTTTGTCTCTTATTATAGCCTTTGTTTTAAAGTCTATTTTATCTGATATAAGTATCGTTACCTCAGCTTTTTTTCATTTCCATTTGCATGAAATATCTTTTTCCATTCCTTTACTTTCAGTCTGTGAGAGTCTTTTGATCTGAAGTGGGCCTCTTGTAGACAGCACATGCATGGGTCTTGTTTTTTTATCCATTTGATTACCCTATGTCTTTTCATTGGAGCATTTAATCCATTTACATGTAAAATGATTATTGATAGGTACATTGTTACTGCTATTTTATTATTCATATTTGTTATTTCTAGCTTCTTTTTTACCCCTTCTCTTTTTACAGAAGTCTTTTTTAATATTTCTTGTAATATTGGCTTGTTGGTGATGAATTCCTTAAGCTTTTTCCTGTCTGGGAAGCTTTTTATCTCACCTTTCATTTTAATTAAAAGCCTTGCTGGGTAGAGTATTTGTAATTGTAGATTTTTCAAATATTCCTTACCATTCCCTTCTGACCATTGAAAACTCAGCAGATATTCTTATGAGGGTACCTTTGTAAGTAACTAGCTTCCTTTCTCTTGCTGCTTTTAAGATTCTCTCTTTGTCTTTGACCTTTGGCATTTTAATTATAATGTGCCTTGGTGTAGGTCTGTTTGATTTCCTCTTGTTTGGGACTCTTTGTGCTTCCTGAACTTGTATGTCTAATTCCTTTGCCAGGTCAGGGAAGTTTTCTGTCATTATTTCTTCAAATAGATTCTCAATCCCTTGCTCTCTTTCTTCCTCTTCAGGTACTCCTATGATCCGGAAGTTGTTATGCTTCATGTTGTCCCAGAGGTCTCTTAAACTATCCTCAGTTTAAAATTCTTTTTTGTTTTTGTTGTTCTGATTGAGTGTATTCTGCTACCTTGTCTTCTAATTCACTGATTCGATCTTCTGCTCTGTCCAATCTATGTTGAATCCTTCTAGTGTATTCTTCATTTCAGTTATTGTATTCCTCATTTCTGTCTGGTTCTTTTTTACAGTTTCTATGTCTTTTTTTATGCTTACTATCTCTCTGTTGAGGTTATCATTGTGCTCATCTATTCTCCCCATATGTTCACTGAGCATCCTTACAACCATTACTTTGAACTCTGTCTCTGGTAGGTTGCTTGCCTCCATTTCATTTAGCTTATTTTCTATAGTTTTCTCCTGTTGTTTCATTTGTGGCATGTTTCTTTGTTTTCTCATTTTATTAGCCTCTCAGTGTTTGTTTCTATGTGTCAGGAATATTTGTTTCATCTCTCAGCCTTGGCCAGATGGCCTAATGTGGAAGGTGTCCTATGTGGCCCAGTGGCACACTCTCCTTGATCCCTTATGCCGGGGGCTCTGGACATGATCTTTGTGTGGGTTGTGTGTGATCTTCTGTTGTTACCAAGACCTTATTGTTGTTAGTAGATCAGTGGATGCGATTAATGCTCAGGCTGACTAATTGTGGGAATTGGCTGCCCTCACAGGTAAGAGTTGCTGTGTGGGGGCTGACCCCACTGAGTGGGATTTGCCTTAGCAGGCTTGTGTACTTGTTGCAACCGCCCTTTGTGTGTATCACTAATGGGACTAGTTGCTCCATTGTAGACTGGTGCCAGCCTCCAGATGCATGGTTTTGTGGCCCCTTGGGAGAGTCTCCTCCATAGGCCAAGGTCAGCCGCTGCTTTTGATTGCTTAGGGCTACTTGGTGGGAACTACAAAGCAATCTGCAGATGGTTGTTGCCTATGCTGGATCAGCTTCAATGTGGCTCCTTTATATTATCAGACGTAGGTGTTACTATCAGCTGGATTTCAGGTGATTCTCCATGTTGATTATTTTATATTTTGGTTGTAATTTCAGTGCAGACTGAAGAGTTGAGTGGTCTTAAGTTTTCTGGTGAATCAAATATCTTTAATCCTCACAAATCCTGGCTTCTGAGGTGAAGGTGGCCCCACTGGAGAAACCCTGTGAAGAAAACTATGCAACTCGGCTCCCTGCTCAGCCCCAAATTTTAGCAATTTAAAACAACAGACCTGTATTATCTCTCACAATTTCTGAGGATCAGGAACATGGGAGCCACTTAGCTGGGTGGTTCTGGCTCAGAGTCTCTCCTGAGGTTGCAGTTAAGCTGTTGGCTGGGGCTGCACTCATCTAAAGACTCAGCTGATGCTGAAGTGGCCACTGACAAGCTCTCTCACTTGACAGTCTTCATTGGCTGTTGGCAGGATTCTTCATTTCTTGCCATCGCCTGGCCCTCTTAAAGGACTGCTTACAACATGGCAGCTTGCTTCTCACAAAGAAAGAGAAAGAAAAAGAGAGAAGAGCGGGGAGGAGAGAGCAAGAAAGAAAGAATTCAAGATGGAAATCTTTTAAAATGTAATCACTGAAGTGATGAAACATTGCTTCTGCTATTGGTCACATAAACCACATGGTACAAAGTGGGAGAGACCTACACAGGGTATAACTACCAGGAGGCCGGGATCACTGTGTGCTATCTTGGAGAACTATTACCACATATACTAGAGTTTTAATCCATTTAATCGAGGGTTCTAACCCTGAATCTTTAACCTGCCATGTAAATTAGTTTTATTTTCTCTTATTTATAAAATAAGAACATCCTAATTCAAAATCTTGAGGGTTAAAAGGCCTCTGGATTTTCTCAGATTCAAAGTTCAATCTCTCTTTTAGAAGATTTAAACAATAATAACATTCAGATATGTAGTAATCATTGCCCCACCAAGAACTGGAAGACACCTTCCCAAGTTGTTCTTTGTTTTTTTGTACGTGGACAAGCCATCTATGACAAATGGTTTGTTTTCTTCTTAAGATCTGCATCTTTTTTAGTATCCCACTGAATTGTTTTCAAACCGTTTCAGGAGTGTTTTCTGATATTTCTCAAAATAAGATTTTTTTTTTTTTTACCTTGTTTGGTCTTGTTAAAGGAACTCAAAAAGGGTCTGGAGGCTTTGGCTAGAAATAAACTATAAAGATTAAATCAAAGTTCTTAGAGTTTTCAAATCGGAAAAATCTAGGAATGTCCTGAAAAAGAAAGAAAAGTTAAGAGTTCTTATAATAAAAGTCCATTCTTGAGAGTTATGGGGTTGGTCTAGGATTAGTCCGGGGCAGTTATCAGTCAGATGTCAGGGGATCAGGATAGTGGATGTCAAGTGGTCTGGTTCCATGAGTCCTCCAGGGCATAATCAGAGGGTTATCTGGAGGTGTGGTATACATCTAGATGTATATCCAGGCATTGATGCAGGACTGGAGAGTCCAAAGAGTTTAAGTTCCCTGGCTCGTTAGAATTGTTTCCTTGGGGCTCAGCCTACTCAATGTTACACAGCATAGCTACACAGCATGACTACAGTGACTCCATTTTATTTCTTCGCTCTGTTCCTCAGTCTGGACGCAGGTCTGCAGTCTTTTCGTTTATTTTGAAATATTAAAACAATTTTGAGAGGCGATACAAGAAACAAGTTTATCTTCAAGAAGCTTGGTTTTCCTTGTCAGTTAGTTCCAGAAAAGGATTGTTACTTGAGATAAGATGTTAGAAAGAATTAAGTACATTTCAGAAGGCATAGCAAACCATCTTCAGGAAGCAGGAATATTGTGTAAATGAAATGACCAATACCTGTGTTAACATTTTTATCCTAATTTTCTAAAAATCTATTATGCTTTACAGAAATGTTCATATTTCCTTGTGTAAAGCATGCTGGCAAGGTTAGCTTCCCATTCTCTTTATTTTCAATTTAGAATGTAATCACTATTGAAGTGTTTATCCAACAGATTACATTTAAAAGTGTGCGTTTAGTTCTCTTTCTGTCATTAAGCCACTATTATTGTGAAAAGGAACATGCTACAACGTCAAATTTAATCGCCTTAGAACAGTAGTGTGCAATAAGATAGCCACCAGCTACACCCGGCTACTAAGCACTTAAAGTGTGACTAATTCAAACTGAAATGTGCTATAAAGTAGGCACTGGTTTCTTAAAATTTAGTATTAAAAAAAAGAGGTAAGATCGATGATTTTTAAATGTAGAAATGTAAAATGTTTCAATAATTTCTATATTGATTACATGATGAAATAATGTTTCGGATATACTGAATTAAATATATTATCAAAATTAATTTCACCCATTTTTTTTACTTTTTTAATATGTAAGGTTGCCAGAAAAAATAGAGGACTCCCAGTTCCAGTTGAATTAAAAATTATTTATTTATCTGAAATTCAAATTTTAACTGGGTGTCCTGTATTTTTGTCATCTAAATCTGGTGACTTTATTACTATGGCTACTAGAAAGTTTTAAATTACAAAGGTATCTACGTCGTTGAACATTGAGGCTTTAGAACGGTGAGGCTTCAGTCGACTCCTGAGTTAACTTCTGCGCAGAAATAACTAATCTGGGGAGAATATTTAATCTTAAACTGGGATCGTCAATAATCTTGAGGTTAAATTTTCACATTTGTTTGAATACGTTAAAGGATAACAGGAAGGCTTCTTACAGAACAAAATACGGAAAGGCCATTTGGATTAGAATTAAAAGTCTTGGTTTCCTGCCTGTCCACTGGGGTAGCAAACGTTTCCGGTTTCAAAATAATCCCTGTTACTCGTTAATACGGACGGGCGATGTCGAGGGCAGCTAACTAGCAGTGAGACCCTGGGCCAGTCACAGTCCCCCTGCAGGCCTCGGCAAAACGTTGTAGGTGAGGGCGGCATTTTTAATACTGTACTTGAGCCTCGCGTGCCGATCGCTAACGAGTCTCCTGCACACACACACACACACACACACACACACACCCACTCCCGTCCCCCTCGGCTTCGCGCTGTGACAGCGAGCGCGGCTCAGATGCCGAGGTCACGAGTCGCGCTGCCTCCAAAAGCCGAGCCAGGGATCCTCCGGCTGTAACCTAGCGTCAGAGCCCCAGGTGCGCGCGGTGGCCGGGCCCGCCCACTCGCATCACGTGGGGCCCCAGCTCCGCCCCGGCGGCGCCACACAGCGGGCGGCGGGGAGGGTTTTGCGGCCCAAGCCCACAACCCTTTTCGGCCTCGCGCCCTATGTAAAGCTGGTGGCTGCAGCGGCAGGAGCTAGCGAGCCTGCTCGGTCGCCAGATAGGCCCCGCTCCGACCCTCGTTCTGTCGCGCGGTGGGGGACCGGCGCGCACGCGCACACTCCTGCGCGCCCCGCCCCCGCGCGCGCGCTGCCGCGTCCCTCGACCCCCGGCCGCGCGCCTCCGGGAACTGAGGGAGCATGCGAGACTACGACGAGGTGACCGCCTTCCTGGGCGAGTGGGGGCCCTTCCAGCGCCTCATCTTCTTCCTGCTCAGCGCCAGTATCATCCCCAATGGCTTCAATGGTATGTCAGTCGTGTTCCTTGCTGCGACCCCAGAGCACCGCTGCCGGGTGCCGGACACCGCGAACCTGAGCAGCGCGTGGCGCAACCACAGTATCCCGCTGCGGCTGCAGGACGGCCGCGAGGTGCCGCACAGCTGCCGGCGCTACCGGCTCGAGGCGATCGCCAACTTCTCGGCGCTCGGGCTGGAGCCGGGGCGCGACGTGGACCTGGAGCAGCTGGAGCAGGAGAGCTGTCTGGATGGCTGGGAGTTCAGCCAGGACGTCTATCTGTCCACCATCGTGACCGAGGTGGGTACCAGCCCCGAGCCCCGGCCAGGGACCGGGGTGTCGGGAGGACCTTCGCAATCTTTTAGCTCGAGCATTCCACCCTCCTACTACTACTCCCCGAAAGATGCGCGCTGATGCTGTCACTCCCTTTCCCTCAACACACTACACTCTGGTGATGGGCATTTATCCTTTAGCCAGATGGCTCGGGAACGTTTTGCACAGTGACTTCCAGTCAGAGCATGCCCTCTCACAGCATGGATGTCAGGCTGGCCACCTATCCTGATAGCCATCTTGGGGAGAGAGCCAAGAAGGCCCTAGCAGCCCATTTAGATACCGTAAGGCCCTGAGTGGTCAAAAACTTTAGTTGGGGTGAGAGTGTTGAATTGCAGAAGCCAGAACTTGGGCCAAGGGACTGACACCGTTTTTCTTCTAGCCACTTGGCATGTGTTCAGAGAAAAAGGAAATACTCCTTTTCCTTCCTGAACTTTTAAAATTAAGAGAATCATGTGTATAAAACTGTTTCTTGCCCCTTTTTCCAGTTATTCCTTCCCAACCCACCCTCACCTCAAAATGACAGTCTGATCACACACTAAAGAATTGTTTACCTTTTGCTCATGGTTAGTTACCAGCCTTTTAGGCTCCTCCACGCACCTGAAGATTCATTCAGGGCGACTTGTTGACCTGTAATATTATAGCTAAAGCATAAAACCTTAGTTCATAAGAAGTGGGGGAAAACTTTTCTCGTTCTCCAACCCCCTTGGATTTTTGTTTTGGGTGGCTTTGTCCCCTAGCGACCCCACAGTCATTAGAGCTGGATGTATGACATGTTACTGGATGTGCTTTGCATCTTACTCAGACACTGACACTAACTCACTGGAGTCTCAGTGGACCTGAGTGAGCAGGACAGTGAAAGAGCCCTCTTTGATAGGCACCAGGGTGCCCAATTTCACCAGGTGTCAAGATCAGAGATTTGCAGATTAGGGAAGGCTTTCTGGAAGAGGAGGAGGAGGAGGCCTCTCGGTGAGTCTGGGGTATTCAGCTCAGCAGATCCAAAGTCTAAAAGAGTAAAAAACAACCTAGCAGGAGGGCAGAGTTCACAGGGAGGAGAAGGGGAGCCCCCACTGGGATCTCTCAGCTAGTGACATCATTCTAGTGTCTTGAAGTGTTGACAAAAGAAGCATTGAATGGAGATCTGACTGTACATTGTAGCCTAAGAGTCCAGAGAATCAAAATTTCCAGTCATCACAAATCCTTGATCCTGGCCTCACAAGCAATGTCACCTTCCTGGAAGTCAGTGAGAGTTGTAAAAGCAGAGACTGTCCCTCCAGTTGCAGGCAGGGACTACAGAGGGAAGCCATACTGCATGACACAGGAGTTCCTTACAACTTCTGCTTCTGGCTATTCACGGAAGTGGGAGGCAGCAAAGTCAGAAGAAGCTCATGGTATCTCTGGATTTTAACATGACCCCTAGGGTCCCTCAGTGGCTTACTCTAGTCATCTGCTCTTATTTTGCTGCCCTCATCCTGCCTTCGGCTGAGAGCAGTGGTGGCACTGATGAGCTCACAAAGGCTGACTGCGCCGGAAGGGTCCTTAAGCTGTATTGCTGTCAATGTCAGCCTTTCCTTTTTTACATTTAGCCTACTTTTTTCACTGTCTTAGCAGTTTCATAAAAGCTGTGTGCCCTTTCACCTACTAACAGGTTGTCAGATCTTTGCTGGGACTACAGGTTAATACCTTTCTTAGACTTAGGGGATGCTGGAATGCCTGACTTGACATTCATGGTTGTTTGTTCCTCTCAGGTGAACCATCACTGTTGGAAGTTGTTGCATTAACATTCTGATGATTCTGTTTTTCTGAGGCCCATTTGTTTTCAACCCAGACCTGGCCTGCTAACCACTGCAGCTAGTCCCACACCTGCTGAATGTCCCCAGGCCTGCCCTCTGCCCCACATCATACGTGGAAGTGTTTATAAGTATACTGGTATGGGGTTCCTGGTTGTGTTTTTCAACAGATGAAAACCTCAGGTCGTCTTTGTCTTCGTTAAAGTTGAAATGTGTACACGTACTACTGAAGTTTGCGGTAGATTTAAATCGTTGCATCATCTCCCACAGGTCCTGACATGATGCTGGATTTAGAGAGGAGTACTCAGGAAATTTTTTGTTGAATGGATTAATGAATCATTTAAGAACTCTTCTCTAAAGTTTGAGAACTGAAGAAAAAAGGACAGTTTAATTCATAGAAGGGAAACTTGGGAGTGGTTGAAAACATTGGCTGAAATATTTTAAAGGAAATGTAATCCCCCACCCCCTCGGACTGGGGCTTGCTCATGTGTGGATCTCCGACAAAGTGTTGGGATTAGCAGAAAGGTGACACTACTTATGAGGTGAAAGAGGTTGTTCTCCTATGTTTCAGGACTAGTTTTGTGCTCCATGTGCTCCTAAGATGGCCTTTTCTCTGGTCCCCCAGTCATCCCTGGAGTTGGGAAATCAGCCATCTCACCTTGTGGTGTCAATCCAGAGTGCTTCTTGGCCCAGAACTGCCCCCTCCTTTGGGAACCTGGGTGATTTCTTAGGCTGCCTGGACCACTTGCTTTTTGGTGTCTCTATAGCCAAGCCTGCAGCCAGAAAGTTTCCTTTAGAAACTTCCAGCTCTTCTGGCACCCATGAGTTGAGGTCTCTTTAGTTAAGACCTGGCCATCCTCTGTGTCCCCTTGCCCCCTGCTCATCTCTGCTTTCCCAGAAGCCCCCTGCTTTAGACCTTGGCAGCACTCTGACTTACTCTCAGTTGTCCTAGAAAGCCTTTTTCTCTGGACTAGGTTTTTTGTTAGCCTTATCTCATGCATAGATAGTCTTGGAAGATAGGAGAGCCTCCATTGTTATCTATAAGCCCACATCACCTGAAGGAAAGGCCAGCTAGAGAGGTGGGCAGGGCTGAGTCTGGGGTCCAGACTGGACCCTAGTACTGGAGCTTTTACGTCACTGCTATGCCTTTGCTGACTTCTCTAACTCAAGGGAAGCACAGACCTTTATCCCTGCCTTTGCAGCTCAGGACAAGCCAGAGAAGCCACTTGCAGGGCCCCTGAAGCCCCCTGTGCAGGCACAATCATAGCAGACCTATCTGCCCATGAGTGGTCAGGTTGAGCCCTTCTCTAGGTGGCTGAGAACCCACACCCTGGGTCAAAGTTCTGACAGTTGACACAAGGAAGAGACTGAAGAAGCAAATAAAATCTGTTCGAAGTTCAGGGTTCATCTGGGCTTGGGGCAACGAACCCCAAATACCAAGCCCAAAAGGATACTGTGGTGGTGAAGGTTCACAGCCCTTTTATCCATCTGTTCACTTGCTCACTACCTATGTACCAAACAGCTACTGAGCCTTTCCTCTGCAGGGCACTGCCAGGCATTGTAGAGGATATTGTAGCAGATACGTCTCCTTGCCCTGACAGCACTGGGGCAAGGATCCACCATTAATTACAGCAGGAGGCAGGATGAAATGTGGGTCGTAATACATGGCATTCAGTAACAGATGGTGTTTACCAGTGTGCTTGACCATGGAAGCAGTCAGGCGAGGTACATCTCAAGGAGGAGTTTCTGCCCTATGGCCATAGACCCTATTTCTTTTCCCTTCCAGCTGACTTATGAGTAAGAACATTCAGTTCCAGAAAACTACGTCATCTCTCTACTTCCCATGACTGAGAAGCAGCACCAATTACGGACTGCATGCAAAAGACACACTTCTCTCTCTTAAAAATTTTGACATCTCTCTTAAAAATTTTGACAACTCTGTTGAGGTTTCAGTGACATAAAATAAACTGCATATAATGGAAGTGTGCAATTTGAAAAGCTTTCATGGGTATATATGTCCACAAGACCATCACCACTAGAGAAGCACATTTCTTACCAGGAAGGATGGCCAGTCTAGGCCCCTTGCCAGAGTTGCTCACAGCTCACCCAGCTGAGGGGTCATGATGCTAGACTCATGACCTGAATCTTAACCCCCACATTTAGTTTTAATATTGATACCTGTTATTATCAGCCAGTACAGACCATCCCACACACCAAGTGGAGGCATCGATGAGCTGGTCTGTAGCTGCTTTAGTCACAGCTGGGGAGCCAGGAGCTCATTGTTGGAACACTAGATTCCTTTGTAAACACAAGCCCAGAGTATATAGCCTGGACTCTAAGAGCTTTTCATCCCACTTCTCCTAAGAAGGATTCAGGCCAAGTCCTGGAGCCCACCGTAGTCCATCTGGTGGCTGATGGGGAAGTGGATAGTTTGGCTAGGTGGGACCTAGTCTATGCCTGCTCTTGTGTTCGTTTTTTGAGACCAACAAGAAGTATTAGCTCATGTTTGCTTTTGGGGGCCCAAAGCCAGGCCCTGAGAATTGTAAAGAATTTTCAGTGGTGGATAGAGAGCCCAGTTACTCCAGGGACTTACACACTTGCCTAAAGTAAGGACAAGTTGGAGCAAGTGGCAGAGGTGAGACTGCGGGAGCTGGAGACATGGTCCGGGAACCTATTCCAAGATGAGCACTGTAGTCACCTTGTCTCCTGCAGAGCATAGCCTGACCTGGTTTCAGGGAGCACTTGGCCTTGGCAGCCCACATTTTTCTAGAAGCCTATATTGGGAGACTTGACTTAGGGTTGGGGGGCCTATCACCCCAGAACTCCCTGCAAAAGCTTCTGTAGATTTCTAGTCTAGCTCAGCTATCTCAATCCCCAACCTTAGAGAGAGCTACTGACTATTCATTTTTTTATCTCTTGGCTACAAAAGTCATGCTTGCTAGCTGAGAATAGATCCCATCATGTTCAAAAGCGACAATAACTGTAAGCTGGCCTCTGAAGCTGTGCCTAACATACTGCCTGATACTCAGGCCAGCATCCATCACCTGATCCCCCAGCTCTGACTCCCCTGCCACTCCCATCCTCACTTTAACAGCTATGTCTGGACGGGGGCTGCCCTAGGAGTGCCCGCCATTCTAAGAGAAACGGTGTCTAGGTGCTGGAACCACTGAGGCTGTGGAGGCGGGAAGGCTGCCGTGGCTGGATCTTTCAGGCCTTGGTGCTCTGAAATTCCGGCCTCCTGCTAGTCTGGACTTCCTCTAGATGAAGGAGTTGGAGACTCCAGACTCTTCCCTAGGGTGGGGACTGCCACTCCATGCTCAGCCCAAGGGCTGCCCTCTGACCCCTGTGAGGTGTCCAGAAGCAATGCACACAGAAGCAGGGCAGAGAAACAGGCTTATTTTTCCCTCTGTCACTAGCCTGGAAGAGATGCTTTGTTCTTGGAAGCCACACATTCCCCCTCCTCCCCTGCCTCTGTGTGTTACTGGGGAGCCCACAGACTCCCTGGAGGGCAGGCCAGCAGCCTGGCGCCAGGCAAGCGAAGGTCTGAATTTTCTGGAGGGCGGTGTTCTTGCTTACTGCAGAGCGCCATCTTCCTGCTCTGGGAAACATTTTTCTGGGAACCAACAAGCTTCCTGTTTTGGCTTTTCTTCCTGCTTTTGGCTCCTTGTTAGTCTGGGGCAACCTCGCATCTGAGTGTTCAGCTGCTTCCCCGTGCCCGCAGACCTTTTCATGGTGACTAGGCATGGGGTGCTGGGAAACTCGAGCAGTGTAACCTATTCCCTACCCCCACTCCCATTTTACAGATGAGGAAATTAAGGCACAATGTAGAAGGAGAGGGGGTGGTGGTTCTTATTTGAGGTTGGATAACCAGTTAACCATAGAATAGAAACTGAGCCCCAGTTTCTTGACTCCCAGCTCGGAGCTCTTGGCTGTAATTGGGCCTCGTGTTTATAGTGCAGCATCAGGGAGCCCAGCTCTAAATGACACCGAAAGGACCCAGAGGTGGGGGCCTGAGCAGAGCTGAAAGAGCAAATCTAGATGGTGCATCCCAGGCCCTCCGGCCTGGTTCCTAGCTGGATGCCTTAACCCTTAGAGCCCCAGAACCCTGCTCCAGAGCCTCTCCTGTGCCATTCCTGCCAGTGGCCCTGCCGCATCTGCAGCCTTGGGCTTTGCCCAGATTTTTCAAAGTGACCATGAGAGGCCTCGCCTTCTGAGTTGGAACATGGGCAGAAGACTTGCTCCCTGCCTCTCTCCTCCTCAAATTGGAAGCAAAATAATGGGGCCAAAAGCTATGAAAAACCAGCTGGGGAGGGAGCTCACTGATCCTGCGAGGGGAACCTGCTCTCTGCCTGGCTACCCAGAGGAGCCATCGTCATCTCAAGTGAGCTACCACACCCACGCGTCATGAAAACAGAGCATGCAGGGATGCAGGATGTTCCGATTGCATTTTCCAAGAAGTCTTAAGTTTAAAATGTTTTTTAAAATAATACATCCCTTTGCTCCTCTTACAGTGGGACCTGGTGTGTGCGGATGACTGGAAGGCCCCGCTCACGATCTCCTTGTTTTTTGTTGGTGTGCTGCTGGGCTCCTTCATTTCGGGGCAGCTCTCAGACAGGTAAGGTGGGTGTCTGTCTCCTGCAACTGCAGGGGACACCAGCACCAAGCAAGGAGCATGTGCGTGCCTAGCCCTTGACTTCAAAGGATAGTGTTCTTTCAGCCCAGAGGCCGGAGCAGAAGAGCAGGCGGCTTAGCAGATGACTATATGGAGTTTGGGCTTTCATCACAGAGCTGTGGGGCGCTATTAAGAGTTTTTAAAGCAGAAGTGTGACAAAATCAGATTTGCATTTGTTAAAAGATTATTTGATAACTTCATGGAGAAAGGATTGAAAGGAAGCTAGGTTTGTGGAGAGACCAATTAAGAAGCCATCACAATAATTTATGCAGGATGTAAGTGATGGTGGCTGGGACGAGCCTGGCTGGTAGAGTGGAGAGGAGTGGTAGGAGCTGAAACCAACAAGACTTGGCTATGGATTGGACAGGGGAAGTGAGATAGGAACATTTCTGACCTGCACAGCCAGGTAGACAACACCCTTCTCTAAACAAAGAACTCTGGGTCTACAGCCATGCCACCCTGAGCAAGCCCAATCCCACCTGATCTCAGAAGCTAAGGAGGGTCGGGCCTGGTTAATACTTGGATGGGAGACCACATAGGAAGACCAGGTGCTGTAGGCGTAAAAAAATAAATAAAAAATAAGGAATTGTAAGCTGACAAGATCCTTGCAACCTGTGAGGTCAACCAAGTGTTGCCTCACATAAATAAATAAATAAATAAATAAATAAATAAATAAATAAATAAATAATCAGTCAATCAATCAGTCAATCAATAAGACAACTCTGGAAGAGGACTGTGTTTGTAGGAGAAGCTGGTGAGTTCAGTTTGAACATCCTGAACCTGGGGTGCCTCAGACTTCTAAGTGGAGGAATTGAATATGCAGTTGGATGTATGGATGTAGTGCTCCATGACAGATTTGGGCTGGAGAAACACAATTGGGAATCGTCAGCTCATAGACGCTCATCACAGTCCCAAACATGGTGAGATGGCCCGGGAAGAGTATAGAGTAAGGCGGGAAGTGCCCAGGACTGAGCTTAGAGGCCCTCCAAGTGCCATGGTGAGAGATCCCCTCAGAGTTGAGTGGCAGCTGAGACTCAGAGGAATTACTTTGATGTAAAGAACAAGGAGGAGGTACCCCAAGTTCAGAGTTGAAACTCAGGGTCAGCTGTGTCATAGGTGAGGTAGGTCTTCGTGGGCTAGCCTTAGAAGCCAGTTACTGTGTTAACAGCATGATTACCTGAGGAAAGAGTTTAAGTTCCAAAAGATCTGCTCCCAGGGAAACAGAAACAAAATTAATGAGTACGTTAAGGACCATCGTAGTCCTCAGAATGGCTAGTGCAGCATTTTTCAAAACTTTAAAAAATTTTTGTTAGCAGGCTTTTTCTTTTAAGTAAGATCATTTGAGTCCAATAAATCAAGGGTCCCCAGCCCCTGGGCCATGGACCGTTACCAGACTGTGGCTTGTTGGGGACCGGGCCGCACAGCAGGAAGTGAGCAGCAAGCCAGCAAATGAATGAAGCTTCATGTGTATTTGCAGCCACTCCCCAGCGCTAGCATCACTGCCTCAGCTCCATCTCAGATCATCAAGCATTAAGTTCTCATAGGAGCACTGGTCCCTGGTGCCACAAAGATTGGGGACCGCTGCAGTAAATTAAATAGCTAAAAGTGTGACTGTTCTGGCTGTAGTCCCTGCCTGCAGCTCCCAATGCCACCCCTCAAGCTCGTCTGCACTCCCATGGGAGGCCCAGGGCTCTGTGGGGCAGACAGGCTCTCATCTCATTACGTCTAAGTAATCAGGTTCAAAAACCTACCTAAGCTAAACGCTACCTAAGAGCAATGGATTCATGCCCTCAATTTGTCTAGGGTACCAACAGTAACTTTTTATATAGGACAAAGGTTTAACCTTTCTAGGATATGAATAAAGCTGAAATTCAAGCGCAATAAAATAATCTTGGATTGTCAAAGCCTTTTATCTGACATTGTTGAGTTACCTTTATGTGCATGAATTACGAGAGAGGCACAACCCTGGGAAGAAGTAGACTGATATTTTCCGGTTTTGTGGGCACGTGTGTGTTTTACATTTTGTTGACAGACTTTAAAAGTGAGTGTTGCTGGGCCTAACCCCAGATTGCCAAGGAATGGTACTATGTAAGAGTTCCCCGGGTCTTTCTCTTTCCCACCACCTCAGGGAGTCCTTGGGCAGGGAAAGTGGGGGTAGAGGTTACAGCCGTCTGCCTGCAGTGAGGGGCCACCCTTGGATGGCATGTAGGCTGCTCTGTAACAAGAAAGTGCAGGGGCAGGCGGAGGCTCCTTCTAGACCAGTTTCTCAGCCTTGGCACTATCGACATTTTGAGCCAGAAGATTCTTTGTTTTTTTGCGGAGGGGCTATCCTGGGCATTTTAGGGTGTCTAGAACATCTCTGGCCTCTGCCTACTAGATGCCAGTAGCACCAAAAAAGAAAAAGAAAAGGAAAACAAACAAACAAACATGTTGCAGTGTGTAGAAGCACTAAACTCTAGCATGGCTGCAAGGCCTGTGTAGTGTGGCTCCTGCCCAGCTCTGCAGCCTTCTAGTGACCAACTGATGCCAGCCATGCTCATCATACCCCTCCAGCCACAGTCATGTGTGCTCCTCTCAGTCTGACACTTTCCCCACCCTGCCCTCTCACCTTCCGCGACCGCGTAGGCTAACTCGGGACCCTGGTTTATATTGCCCTGCTGCCTCGTGCCCTGCCGTCACGATACCTCTCAGAAGTTGTTCTCATGTGATTCATGTCGGTCTCCCCACTATACTGTGCATGTCATTGAAAGCTTGGTCCCTATCCCTACACCCCCTTGTCAACAACTGCTTTTCTTTTGGGCCTCATCTCTGCGCTGTCTTTAAAACCAAACTGACCAAAACCCCAGCATTTTAAATAATTTTTAAATGAACACAAATACAGAAAACTACATAGAACAAATGTGTGGCTTGATGAATTATTCCAGGGAAATAACTTCATAACTACCAAATCAAGAAATAGAGCTTTGCTAGCCACCAAGAAGCCCTGTCTTTGTGTCCTTCCCCCATAAGTAACCTGACGTTTATAATAATCACTTCTTTGTGGGTTTTTGTAGTTTTATCATCCAAATATGCATCCTTAAACACAAAAATTGGTATGTTTTAGTCTACTATAATCTAGGGACTCTCCCTCCATCCCTTTCTTTGCCTTACAGTTGATTTCTTGAAATATCTTGGGCTCTTCCACCTGTAGAATTTCCCAGACTGGGTTTGGCTAATCACGTATTCATGGTGCAGTTCAGCATGTTCCTCTTTTCTCTGCATTTCTTGCAATTGACAGCTGGATCTAGAGGTTTGATCAGATTCAGGTTCAGTCCCTTTTAAGACTATAAGAGTCATGCAATGTTCAGTTGTCTCTTTTTATTATGTTAGTAGTTATTGAGATATAATGCCCATATCTGTTCATTCATTGGGGGTTGTACAATGGTGATATTCTAATTTGATCACTTCTTTTTCATTTAATAGTTGGCATACTTTTATAAAATGATACTTCCTCTCATCTATGATGGGTTACTGTTCACACAGATTACATAGGAAAGTCAGGACAACTATTCCTTTCACTTTATTTACCAGTTTTCATTTATAATGAATTGTTTCTTCATCACCCTCCAAAGTACACCAGTTCTTTTTTTAAAAAAATACATTATGAATGTATGGATTTACACATAATAAATGTGTTGCAGTCCATTGCAAGTGTCATCATAACTGTGGCACTGCCTTATGGGCAACCCTGGTGCCTAGGCTGCACATTGATCCTGAGGAGTGTGTGTGAGTGTGCATGTTGCGGGGGAGGGGGGTGACAGCATAGGAGCTGAGAGACTGGGACTGTCCCTGCACCAGGTGTCCTGCCCGCTCTGTCCATGACCCCTCCCTAAATGGCTCTGGGGAAAGCCCCTCTTGGTGGAGCCCATTCTTGCAGCCTTCTCCCAGCTACTTCTGTCACTCCCTTTTCCTTCCCAGGTTTGGTCGGAAGAACGTGCTGTTCGTGACCATGGGCATGCAGACAGGCTTCAGCTTCCTGCAGGTCTTCTCCAAGAACTTCGAGATGTTTACCGTGCTGTTTGTCCTTGTAGGCATGGGTCAGATCTCCAACTACGTGGCAGCATTTGTCCTGGGTATGGCCATCAAGTTGGAGTTGAGTACTTGATCCTGTGTTTCACCATCATCTAACTACCCGCCTTCAAGGAGAAGTGGTCTGTAGTAAAACCAGCAAGGGCTTCTTGGAGAACCCAGTTTGTAGGCAGGGTAACTGAGTCCACCAGGTGCCCAGCCTTGGGTCCCCAACAGTACAGTAGCCTGATTGCTGCATCAAAGTTCTCTTCTGGCCTCTGAGATGTGGCACCTTGGTCTCATTAGTACTTTATGGCCGTTTACTAGAACTCACCCAAGATCATTCCTCAAAAAAAGGCCTGCCACTGCCCAGGGCCAAGATAGCTAAGGGAAGAGAGAGATGTGATATGAGTAACAGGGCCAAGATTGGCAGGCTTGCCAAGGAAGAAAATCGCCTTTTCTGCAAAACACTGTGGCCAGTGAAGTCGACACTGGCAGGAACAAAGTGATAGGAATGGGCTTTGGTCACATGACCTTTGGAGTTTTCACTCAGATCACACTGCAAGGCTTCAGCCCATTCTCACTGAAAAGTTGCCAATTTCACTGTTTAGAGGACTCTAACTCTAGCTTATTGGGTTTTGGCTTCCTTTGGCTGTATTACTGAAAGGATTATTTCTCTCTTCACTTTTAACAGGATATTTTTTCCTTAGAGGATAACAGCTAGCATGTGCAGCCTCAGTAATGATTTCCCCTTTAATCAGTTCTTCCTCACATGAGGATTAAATTTTGAGGCCTAACATGGCATCTTTAGCACATGGCTTCGGGAAGTGATGAAATTTTTATGGGAGGACTGTCACTGAGGGGCCTGAGAGGCCACAATGAGGCACCTCCAGCAGATGGTCAGACTAACCTGAAGGGAGGGCTTCCCCGCTTTGTGATGCTGCCCTCAAATCAGAATCCCGTCCCTTCCCAGGGCTTGGAAAGTTAAGGATTCTGGCTGCTCTCTTGTCTTTATATTGAAAATTACACAAGAGAAGATTAAGAAGGAAATAACCTAAATTAAAATGTTAACATGACTCCTCCCTTGTTTTGAACAGGAACAGAAATTCTTGGCAAGTCAGTTCGTATTATATTCTCCACGTTAGGAGTGTGCATATTTTATGCATTCGGCTACATGCTGCTGCCACTGTTTGCTTACTTCATCAGAGACTGGCGGATGCTGCTGTTGGCGCTGACGGTGCCGGGGGTGCTGTGTGTGGTGCTCTGGTGGTGAGTGTGTGGCCCTGTGACCAGAGGTGGCCACCAGCAGGATGTCTTCTGTCTGGCTTTCACTAGGGGGCAGCAGCAACCCACAAACCCGTTTGGGCTCCCAGAGACAGGAAGTATACATTATTTATAAGTTGTTTCAGAACGTTTTCTCCACACAGTAAAAAGCCAAAAACAAAAGAGTCCTAAGACATCAACAGACTTGTTCTCAGTCCCGTGCTTGGTCAGTTGGAGTTCAGGGAGAGAAGAAGCAGTAACTGCAAGATGATACGGTCCTCCATGGCCTCGAGGAAGTTATCAGACCACAGGACAAGACAGCTTAGGCCCTGTTTCTGGCTGCATGTTGCCGAGGATTCATGCCACAGGCACTGGGAGTGGAGGGAGCGCAGTGGAAGCAAGAGTCCTCAGGGTGTCTACACGGAGGAAGCCAGGCTCCATCTCAGCCTCCAAGACAGAGGAGTTGGACAGGCAGAGAGGAGGCCATTCCATACCAAAAGAGGGAAGACAGCAGAGGGGCAGAGGTGGGAATCACCCCTTGCAGGTGGGGATGTTGAGAACACTGCCCCCATGTGTAGCTGAGAACATTCCAGAGCATAATGGGGGAAGATACTGAGCACAGGGTGCGTCCTGGTCATGACCAAGGGTAGGTGCTCCTGGTGTGGTAGAAAATAAGATTTATAAAGTCTCAAAGCACCTAGGTGCCTTGATAAGCCAGATAGAAAGTCTGACAAGTCAATAAGATGAATCAGTGGGGGATGAGGCAAAAGCAGAGGCTAAGAGGCCAGTGCAGAAGCTTCTGTGGATGCCAGAGACAAGCACGGGATTATAGCCAACCTAGGGTCTGGGCTGGGCTGAGCCCAAGCAGAAGCCTGGCTTCAGGAGCCCATTTTCGCCAGTCTCCTTAGTGTCCAGCAGGTGGCACTACGGAATGCAGGTCCAGGATGCTGTGGGACAGCTGAAATGGAGGTGGCCAGCCAGTGCAGGAATCCCAGTGTGCAGGGCCCCCCCACGTTTTGTGCACTCTCGTGTACTCAGAGGCTCACTCTTCAGGTGATTACTAATTGTGGTATTGACCATCTCTTTGCTTCTGGCTTGGAAACCAAACATTCTCCAAACCCAGCTCTGGTTCCGAAACCCCATTTCCCACCTCCACTTATGCTGCACCTGGTCTATCAGGCAGGAGAGCCTCAGCTAGAGTGCCCCTTATCCTGCAGGTTCATCCCTGAGTCCCCCCGATGGCTCATCTCTCAGGGACGATTTGAAGAGGCAGAGGCGATCATCCACAGGGCTGCCAAAATCAACAGAATTGTTGCACCCTCCAACATCTTTGAACCAAGTGAGGTAGGCACGGCATGGGAGCTGGTGGGAGGGTCTCGGTGGCCATGATTTGAGGGCAGCATCACAAAGGGGGGAAGCCCTCCCTTCACACAGGAGCCCCGCCCTCTCCCTGAGCTTGCCCTAGCCGCCCCCTGTTAAAATTCTGAAGCTGCTCAGAAGGTGCCAACTGCCTCAATGTCTTCACTCTTCCCGTGGATTTTAGGTTTTCATACTATATGTACTTCTTTTCTAGGCCATCATGTGGTCTGACCATTACTTTTAATAATAGACACTCTTGCGAGTACTAGGCCTTTCACAGAGTTGGCGTTTTGGGGAATCATTGTTCCTTACACCTTAGATAGTTTCTCATCCTAAAAAAATAATGTAGTACATAAACTATGAAGCAAAAATAGATTTGGAGTTAGAAATGTTCAGTCTCCTTCCACCCATCAGTGATTGGTTGTTGTGTGATCCTGCAGTCAGGTCCCTTTTGATACCCACCCCTTTGCTCTACTCCGCCCCTCCCTGCAGACCCTACTCTCAGAGCATGAGTAATTTCCTGGCTCTGCCCGATTCCTGGGTCTCTCTTCCCCTTCCTGTTCTCTCTCCTTCCACCCTCTCTGCAGCAGGTGGTTGTCTTCATGACAATAAGAAGAAGTTAGACATTGTAATTGCTGGCCGATAGGGTTCTGGAACATGCATCTGATCTGATGGGAAGGCAGGGAGCTGGCTTTGAGAACAGC